CTCAAAGGGTTTTTGTAGCTTTCATGTCTTGTGGCAACTAAATAATAACTTATATAGCACCGTCAAAATGAATAAAAATCCGGACAACATAAGCCGATACCTTTCTTCACTTCGACGTTTTGCTTCTTTAAATGAAATCCATCAAAATCATGAGAAAACATCTTGATTTTCGCTGTCCCAGGTTGCGGTAGATAGGACACAGTAGACACAACAGTTTCTACTTACAAAGATCACGGAAGGCGCAAAATTGCCTCCGATTTGCCGGTTCCGTACAGACCTTACCGTAAGCGCTCCAATTCCCTTTTAAAAAGTCTGGCTCTCCAACAAAGAGTTTCACTTTTTAATTCTTTGAAAAGCTCCTTTTAAATAAGGGCGATGGAATACAACATTACGAGCAAAATTTAAACATCCGAACAGTGCTACAACAGCAAACACGACCTCGTGCGTTGCAACAAAATATAGCAATATTTTTAAGCTAGATTATATTGTTTATATTAACTCGAAACCAGCTTTCCTCGGTTGTAAGGGAAGGAACGCAGGCAGGAGCTACGGAGATGGAACAAGTAGTAAACTTGTTGGCCAATTTCCCTCTATCGTCGCCATTTTTTTCTCACTACAGAAATATGCAGACGTCCTCGAAAACAATTAATTAATTTCGCGGGAAAGCCTGTTCTAAAAATAATTCTTTATCGGAAAGGGTTGACTCAAGGGTACAGCACGTATGGAGGCTCCAAGTAATCGGCTCCTGTATTTATTTATTTATTATTTATTTCATTTTTTGTACCGGTTGTAATCCCACTGATTCAGGAGTCAGAATGGGTTCATTTTCGTTAATGAAAGAAAAATGCGCCGGGAAAAATCCCTGTAGATCCCTACAGTTCCTCAACTATATCCTTCTCAAACAAATTACACTTAAAAATGGACAAACGTATGAACCGACTGGTATGAGCGCCGGTAACTTTCGCCTTGCGGAAAATCAACTTTCTGATTGAAATTCGGCTTCAAATAACTTTTGTCTCACTCTTGCGGTATGTGATCACTATATTGGCCGACTTAGGGCCTGTTTACATGGAGGTGGAGGACCCAGGTAGGTGGGGTAACCCGCTTACGTGGGGTAATCCGCCTGTCCATATAATCTCTCATTTTAATTTGATCACGTTTACATGATAAGTGGGGTCCCCTACCTCCATGTAAAAAGGCCCTTAGTATAGTAAGCAGTGAACCCACTTATACCTCTTCCAATTGACATGCTGAGTCAACTTTATCCGATAGTGACACCAACATAGCATCGAACTCTTTGACCAGCTCCTCAAATGTAGGTCTCTGCGTCGGTGAATACTGCCAACATTTCAACATAATCTGATACCTAATGAAGCAAGAAAAACCCGAAACACGCACAATATGTTTTCCATAACTGGAAATGAAATGAATAAGAAATGAAAAACAAAGGTTTTGCAAAATTTTGGGAGGGGAAACAAGGTGCATTACGCGAGATGTGCAAATGGCGAATGTCACGAGCTATATGCCGTTCAAAAACAATTATGAGTTACCTCGGGAAAGGACTTTTCCTCTGACTCTTAGACTGTTTGCAGCCCTCTATTTTTGTTTTCCAGTATTTTTTTTTTATTCACGAGCTGGGCGGAAGTATCCATACAAAGTGCGAGGGGGTTGGACGGGGAGCCTGCCTCTTCCCCATCACTCCTGTACGTTTAGCGCATACTTCGCTCGATTTTTTAAACGTTTCTTCCAGTTTCCCTCGGTTATGAACATCATTTTTATTGAACCCTTATAATCTCAGGATGAATGATGAAGCCAGGCTCGGTAATACAGGTATGAAGCCTCCCCAACGGTACTTTCGAATGGTGCTATTTGTTTTAGAGCATTTTACATAAAAGAATTTGTTGAAATTTAAATTTGCCCACTTTTGGAAGTAGATGGGTATGCATGCAACAACCAAAATCTGAAAAACCGCCTGATGGCTCAGTAGAAATGAGATCTCGAGAGGGGCTCCTTGTAAAGTAGAGAAGTTGACGAAAAAAGCAAATCTGACAGAAATGGAGAATCTGGCGAAAATCGGGATGGGTTTGGCAAATATTGAAATTGGATAGTCACGAAAATAGGAAAATCAGCCAGCAATGGCAAAAATGGCGGATCTGGCTAAAAAATTCGTGAGAGGGTTGAGAGGGGCTATTTTGGCGAAAATAGCATATTTGGTGACACAGTCCCTTTAACGAGTCTAAGGTCAACGACTCGATACATGATAATAAAATGAGTATACCTGGTTACAATTTGATTATGAAAGACCGTGAAAGAGCCGGAGGCTGTGTTGCGTCATATATTCGAGATAATATACCCTAAGTAGATAGAGAAGACCTGGTGCCTGACCGTCTTGAGACGGTTTGTGCAGATAATAGCCGCCCACATCGTAAATCCTTTGTTGTCTGCACCAGGTATAGGCTACCAAATTCAGACATGGACCTATTTAATGAATGCAACACTTTTCTTCAAAAGTGCGACGCTGAGAACAAAGAACTGATGAGTTGGTGACCTTAATTGTGATGTAATGAAATCCTCGCCTGATGCCCACACACACAACAACTGATTTTTCTGTGCTCACTTTACCAAATAGATCAGTTAGGTTCCGTTCGATGGGGAAATCCGCATTTAGATTTTGAAATCTGCATCAATTAAGAAATCCAAATCCGGATTTCATGGATTTCTTTTTACCGTTCAATCGGGAAATCAAAAAGGATTTGCAAAATTATTCTCGTGAACAGTGGTCTTCTCCTTGCTAATTATGTGTTCGCGTACAAGACCGCTGTCTTTAGAACTGTTTATCAATCCTTTTTCGAATTCCCCAAAAAACGGAAAGAAAGGGAATCCAAGAATAGATATTTCAGTGTATCTGATAGATATCTACCTGTTGTGAGCAAAGCATTTGAAAAAGTAGCCTGTGAACAGGCTCTCTGTTTGGGGAAAAAATAGCAAGAAAAGGGAAGGGAAGGTGGGGGGAGAGCCTGTAGACAAACATTTGAGGCCGCTATTCCGCCCTCTTGTAATTATCTTGCCGAACATCTGTCAGTAAGATCGTTATCAGTCAATCATTTTCGCGCGTGAGTAACTCCTGGAAAAATTAACGGGAAGGCTATGTTTTGTCCCGTCTCAAAATAAAGTGAAATGGACCGCGATTTTGCAAAAAATCGTTGATCTCCGGTAAGAGAATTAATACGGTGCCGGTCTTTGGCGTTTCAAGAAATAAGACCTCGCTGGTTGAAAGTGGCCAAGACAGCGCAAGCATTTGAATCCTCAAGATTTCCTCGTGAGCAATTGCAAGGAGAAAGCTTTTCCGATTTAAGCTACTTAACTTGTGCGCAACGGGCCGTTCGTCTTGCTAGTTCAGTTTCTAATTCAACAAGCCCCTGCAATGAGCGAACTTGGAATGCGAAAGGTACAGATACTATCATGAATTCTCCAGAACGTGAACCTCCAAAGACAACTACAAAGAAATCAGCAGCGCTTCGATCGCCGACAGGAATTACACCTTTGGGTATTTATCCAGTATTTATAGCGAAAAAAGGGGGCAGTAGGCCTACACGACGTTTACCTCAAGCCAAAATGCTGCTTGTTCCCATACGTTTTTTCCTCTGCTGGCTAGATTATGCTCTGGAAGGTTCTACATTTTCACTGAGCAAATGTGATTTTAGCCCGGCGCTTGCTTCACACTGAGAGGTCATGGCATACATATCGATTTACTGTGGATTTTGTCTGAGGTCTGCAGGATTTGCGCTCTGATGCAAGAGCATTTTCTTTGAACTCTTTTGAAGCGTAAAGCTTTTTATTGCGGCTGAATAAGGGTCTTACTTTTCTCCAAAGTGCCTTCTGGATCTGAATAACTAAGCGATTTTCTTTAGTCCGTGAATGTAAAGTTTTTCTGAAATGTTGTATCACGCTGGGCCCAGCTCGTTAGTTTTCTTTGCAGAATGTTCAAAAATTATGACGGATAGTAATTTACAGATCCAAAGTTATGAGATTCAAGTGCAGTTTAAACCGAAGCTACATCATCTATGGGGAATTGCATTGTGACTCGGTAAACTCCAGTCTAGTGTTTTTCTACAGTTAATTTGAGTCTTTTGACAGGAGCGCGTAGTTCCTCCCTTGGTAATAGCTTTTGAACAAGCTTAACAGCCTTTGGAGTGTTTTGTTATTTCCACTTTGTGATCAAAACGAGTGCTACGTGCCGACCGAACTGCCGATGTCAATCAGACCTGTCAACAGTCAGTGTTCTCGCCAAAAAGAACTTGCATCAGGATCTAATGCACAGATGGTGCCGTGGAACGGCGGTCCCAAATGTTTGTCTGCAGGCCTTTTCGCTTTTTCCTCTCCCTAGTTCCACGCTCGACCAAAGGCCTGTTCACAGGCTATTGAAAAAGAGGTCTTCCGTCAGCTCTATAGCTATCTAACCGAAAACTCTACGCTATCAAAATTTCAGTCTGAATTCCGCCCAAATCACTCGACATTAACGTCCCTTATCCAAATGTGTGGTGATGGCTGGAAAATATTGATATGGTAAACTGAATGGTGTCGTATTCCTGGATATTAATAGTGCGTTTGATTCCGTTAATCACGACATCCTGATAACCAAGGTGAATGGACATTTGGTATCCTTGGTATGGACTTCAACTGTTTTTTAAATCATACCTAACTAACAGGGAACATCATTCTATGAGCAGGGAACAGCAATGCATTATTAACGGTGAGCTGTCATCTAAGAAAATAATCACTTGCGGAGTCTCTTAGGGATTCATCCTAGGGCCCCTTTCGCTTCTATTATACGTTAACGATTTGCCTGACAGTCTAAAATTAACCACGATGCAAACAAACTTATCGTGAAGCTTAATTCTGACCTCCCTCAAGTCCGAAAGTGAGTCATCAAGAATAAACCTCATATACATCCGCCTAAATCCAAACTCTTGTTTATTGGCTCCTCCCACAGTCTGAATAATAAGGTAAGTGAGCAACCCTTTGTGGTAAATATTCAACCTACACCGAGAACTAGTGCACATAAGTGCCTCGGAGTTCACATAGATGAAACGCTTAGCTGGGACTGTCATATCGATATTATCTGCAAGAAGGTTAGCGCGGGTATAAGAACCATCCAAAATTTTTTTCCCGGACGTACTCTGGAAAACATTTATAAGGGCTTAGTTCAGCCATATTTTGAGTCCTGCTCTCCTTTGTGGGACAAGATTCCAGTCACATGCTGCTAGAGTTCTCACTGGTGCCAGCTATGATATTCGCTCCACAGATTTCATTCACTCTCTTTCTTGACCAGCACTTTACGATAGAAGGCGCTGTGCAGTGTCAATTTTAATGTATAAAGTAGGAAATGAACACACCTACCCGGCCTAAAGAACTGTTTTGTGAGAGGAAATGTCGATCAGACTAATTACCATCTACGTAACACGGCTACTGCTCTGAAACTTCCTGAAGCAAAAAGAGAGTCTCTAAAGTTTTAAATTTAGCGGTGCTATGCTTTGGAAACACCTCTCGGATGAAGTAAAACTCGCTGTGTCAATTTTAAAAAAAAAAAAAAACATTATTAGATTATAGTTGGGTCTTGCCAAGCCGTACATTTTAATAGTAGTAGTAGTAGTAGTAGTAGTAGTAGCAGTAGCAGTAGCAGTAGCAGTAGCAGTAGCAGTAGCAGTAGCAGTAGCAGTAGCAGTAGCAGTAGCAGTAGCAGTAGCAGTAGCAGTAGCAGTAGCAGTAGCAGTAGCAGTAGCAGTAGCAGTAGCAGTAGCAGTAGCAGTAGCAGTAGCAGTAGCAGTAGCAGTAGCAGTAGCAGTAGCAGTAGCAGTAGCAGTAGCAGTAGCAGTAGTAGTAGTAGTAGTAGTAGTAGTAGTAGTAGTAGTAGTAGTAGTAGTAGTAGTAGTAGTAGTAGTAATAATAGTAGTAATAAATTGCTTTATTTGCATGACCGCATCATTTTACAGTATTGCAAAAGCATGTATATGACAATCAAAATATAAAACAAAACAGCACTAATAATAATCTAGAAAAATTCGGTTACATTACTAACAATGAATCACGTATTTTCATGCAGGAGGAAACAAACTTCATAACTAACTTATTTACATGATGTTCCTTCGAATTCATTATCAGTTTTATGCTTTCTGGAGATGATTTCTTGTCAAAGTCAGGTATTATTCGATTGATTTGATTAATAAATGCCTGTCTCTGTACTGAGTATTTGTTACATTGAAAGAGGAAATGAATCTCATCTTCTACCTGATTTGAGTTACATAAAGGGCATAATCTATTTTCTCTTGGCAAATGATCGATTTGGTATCGACCATGTTCAATCATAAGTTTGTGATTACTTATTTTAAATTTAAGAAAATTCTGTCGTTCGTCATAATGTCTTAGCTGGTAGAGATAATCAGATGTAGAATATTCATCTTTAAAAGTTTTATAAAATTCTAGTTTTTTTGAATTTTCGAGGCTGTGCCGCCAAAAGGATAGATATTTCTCTCTCATTTCTGTGGTATATCGTCTAATTTTATCATTATCTAGAGATTCAGCATCTAAACTGGTTAGATTGTATTGTTCAAGCATGTTTATGAAATTGGAAAAATATCCGGAATTATTCATAGAATGTAGATTCTTTGACATAAGGAAAGACTGTTTGACTATAGAGTCATTATCTTTGTTGTTGAGGTAAACAAAATATTTCATAATTTTCTGATTTATCGGGATAAGCAGCGGCAGTCTATCAAGTTCAGCTCTGCAGGCTATGTTAGAGGCCTTATTGTTAACCTCTAAGTAACGTTTACAGAATTTGAGGTGGATTTTTTCTATTGGGGAGCTATCCCATTTTTTAAAATCTTGCTTGGTGTACATTCCCCATACCTCGCTGCTGTAACTCAAGATTGGGAATACCATGGTGTCAAAAATTTGGGATGCAGTATTAGGATTAAGTTTGTTAAGAATTGTCCGCTTCCGAATTCTAGAAAACGCGTGAAGGGCCTTTTCTTTTAAGTGTTCGAGTGCAAGTGTAAAGTTTCCCGTTGGAGTTAAACGTGTACCTAAATAAGTGTATTCTTGGACAATTTCAATTGACTCACTGCCTATGTTGAATTTGATGTCAATAGATTTTTTGGGCGTTTCTGGAATATCATAATTTTGTTTTCTTCGGATTAATTTTTAACTTCCATTTGTCACAATACAAAGAAAGCGCATTTAAACAGTTCTGTAATCCAGTTTTCGATCTTGATAGAATAACTAAATCATCTGCGTAGAAAAGTGAATTTATTTTTTTCCCATTTGGGAGAACAAATGGGCCAGATAAGGTGTTTTCGAATAAAAGTGGTAGATTGTTTAAATAGAGGTTAAATAAAAGAGGGCTTAAAATACAGCCTTGACGTACACCTCTGGAATATGAAAAAGGCGCTGTGTTTTGTTTTCACCGATTTTGATGGAACATGTCGAGTTGCAATAAAGACTTTTCATGAGGTTGTACAAGTTTCCTCCTATATTCGTTTTTAGCAGCTTATAAAACAATCCTTCGTGCCAAACAGAGTCAAACGCTTTGCGGAAATCTACGAAACAAGCGTAGACTTTTTCTTTGTGATAATGCACATATTTATCTATTAGGGTCCTTAGAGTGAAAAAATGGTCTGCAGTGCGGTTTTCAGGCAAAAAGCCAATTTGGGAATTATGTAATATCTTATTTTCCTCAAAATACAAGTGAAGTCTTCGATTTAAAATAGAACAGAACAGTTTTCCAAGGCAACTAGAAACACATATGCCTCTGTAATTTGTTGGATCACTCTTGTCACCAGATTTGTAAATTGGGGTTATGAGGCCTTGACACCAAACATCTGGCATTTTTCCGGATTGTAAAATGAGGTTAAAAAGTTTGACATAGACAGGCATTAGTGGTTCGAGGCTTGCTTTGATCATTCCATTTCGTATTTTGTCAACAAATGGTGATTTCTTATTTTTCAATTTCTTCGCCGCTTGACGTATTTCCCTCTCAGTTATCTCATAATCGAGATGGTTAAACTGTTCCTTTTCGTGTTCTAAAGAATTTAGTTCCCTATGGATTTCATGTTCATGCGTGGAATTCGTCGGGTCAATAGAATGCAGAGATTTGAAATGGTGAAGCCATGATTCTTCCGAGATTGGGGCAGGAACATTTTCGTTGAAAGTGTCGCTCATAGAATTTAAACAATTCCAAAATGACGCCTTGTCAGGATTTAAAGCTAGTTCGTCGAGTTGTAATGTTTTTTTCTTTGTGGAATCCTCTCTTCTTTGTGTCTAGGAGCTTTTTGTAATCAATCAAGGTTTTGTGATATCTTTCCCGCACTTCGGAGTTGAGGGGGTCACGGTGCTTTTCATTTGAGACTTTTCGTAATTCATGCCTTTTCAAGCGACATTCACAGTCGAACCATTTCTTGTTGGATGATTTCTTAATACACTTATAAGTTTTCTTAGCTTTAATTTTTAGGCATAGCTTGGAGCTCTCAGTTAGAATTTTCATAGCGTTTTCTAAGGAGATATTCACATCTTCGGTGTTTCTCTCCATATATTGTCTAATTAGAATTTGGATTGGTTCCGTGCGCAGTGCGTTTTTGAATTTTAAATGTGAGTCAACTTCCCAGCAAAATTGCCGTGGTAATTTTGATAATCTATTGCTACTGTTTGGAGTGTGCATTTCGTCTCCAATTAACCTGGTGTTAAGATTGAGCCATGCCACGATGGCACTATGATCCGATAAATAAGATGGCTGTTTAACAACAAAATTTGCAACGTTGAGAAATGTACACTGATCACATATTAGATAATCAATAACGCTCGTTCCGTTTTTTCCATGAAAAGTGGGTCTGCCCAGGGTATCTCCATTAACTCTACCATTAACTATTCTTAGGTCAAAGGTTTTACAAATTTCCAACAGCCGTTTCCCATGGCTATTTAAAACATTATCAAAACTGTTTCTTTGAGTTGGCTGGAAAGCAGATTCCGACTGATCATTACTAATTCTACTGTTTCCCTCCTTTGAGACAGTATCAGAGTATTTCCCGGTTCTCGAGTTAAAGTCACCCATGAGAATAATTAATCCTTTCGAAGAAAAACGTACTATGTCTTGTTCTAGCTGATCAAAAATTTCGTTATCGAAGTATTTTGAGTTACAGGGGGGTATATAGACACCACAGACGTAAATATTCTTCACTGAATTTAGAAAACGATTCTCAATTTTAAACCAAATAAAATGCTGAGTTGTTTTAGTGATGGAAATGTTTTTATGGAATTTGTTCTTACAAAATAAAGCGATTCCTCCGGAGTTACGCCCACCTCTCCCCGACTGATTTGGTGTGGGACATTGAAAAAAAGATTTGTATCCCGCAATTTCCAGATTAGAGCAGTTGCCAATTTCTGTTAACAATATAAAATCGGAGTTATTAATAACACTCAAAAAATCAGTATTATCTAACTTATTTCCAAGATATTTCGAAGAAAGGCCATTAATACTCCAAGCGCAAAAGGACAATGTGCTTGAAATATCGGGACTATCTTCGGTGTCCGTGATTGTGTAGAAAAAAAATAAATGGATTACTCTTTATACTGGTATAAAGTTTATCATTAATACTTAATTCAGTGTCAAGGGTAAGATGAAATTGTTCATACAAATGATTTTATAAAACGAAGAAAGGATATGATTTCCTGAGGCATTGCTGAATCCGTTAATTTGTTCGAGGGGCGAGTTTCTTCACCTGCGGTTTCCATTTTAGCGGCCTGTGGAAACGTTTGATGCGGTGTTTTGGAGTATCGATGCGATATAGTTGGTGGCGGAGCTGGGAGTATCTGGTCCGGCAGGGTTTGCATAGGAAGCTGGAATGCTTTATTTGAGGCATTTGGTTCATGATGTAGTGAGTTTTGCAATGGTGTTGGAGGTATTCGTTGTGGAAGTTGTGGTGTGACAAATGGTAACGGCGGAGGT